ATATATATACACATTGGTCAGATACAATACAGTATATATAAAAGTATTCTGCACACTCCTCAGCTTCTATCCAAATGGTGCTCATTCTTCCAGATCCAACACAAATTCTTACTTCTTCCACACATCTTCCCTGACTACCCATGCCATGTTTTTTGAAACTCTGTTAACCATACAGTGTGTCCCTGGCTTCCAGAGTTCAAAGACTAGTACCTTGAAATAAAATTTTGTGGTGAACATAATAAACCATAATCATCTACTATCACAGCATGTAATTTAAAAATAAGATCTTTTAGCACCCCAAGTTTAGGATGATTATAATTCCAGAATAAAAGACAATATTTTAAATGGATGAAATTTAGCTTTGTTTTAAAACACTATACTTATTTTTCACATTTTACGGCACATTAGGGAAAACTTTGACCAAAACTAGCATCAGTCCTTGGAGCAGCATTAGGAATCCACCCCTAGAGAGTCGGTCTGTGGTGGATGCCAGGAAATCTGATTTCTAGCAAGCCCCTTGGATGACCTTAACACACAGCCAAGGTTGAGAACCACCGATAGAGTGTAGAGAAGTAAATTAAAAACTAAGCCGATTCATTCAAGTATTGGATTATGTGGCATAGTCTATACATGACCTTTCATTTATAGAGTCCTTTATCTGTCAACAAACTTAAGCTTCTGAAAAGAAGCGAGTCTAATTCTTGGGCCTCTAAGTGCTCCCATCTCCCAACCAAACAGCCTGGAATAGGGACCTTAAAAGACACACTCTATCTTTCTGATTACTTTACCATGGCTGTAAACATGTACAGATTAATTTTCCCGTGGAATTTTATATAAGGCAAATTCTTCCTCTAGAAAACACTTACTTTGTCAAACGAGCCTCCTTCACAGTTTTCTGCCAGATTTGTATCTTCTGCTCTCTTTGACGCAGTGCTTTCTGATATGCATACGGAAGCCCCCCAGGTATCTCTGTCGTATCCCCTTCCATTTCAAAGGGGATAATAAATATATAGAATTCACAAGGTGGTAAGAGTCGGAAGACACTTGTGTCACTGCTCTCTCTGCACACAATCATTGGATTATCCCAATAGTTAGGCACTGTAGCAAGGCCGGTCCTGGCCATGTGATCCTCCAGCATTGGATAATGGGTGTGAAAAGGGGCCAAAGTTACTCTCTGGTTTCCAGAGAGAATAAGTGGGCGTGTAGGCGTCAGAATGTGAAAGACGCAGCCTGCCGTGGAAGAGATGGACAAACGGTGGCAGGCAGCAATGACTTTAATGTTGTCACAGCTGTGGAGGTGAAGAGCAGTCTGTACGGGGCCCAAGACAAATGTGCTATTCCTGCACTTCTCAATGGTCACAGATCTGTAATGTGAAAAAAATCAGGTGAACTCCCCAGTGAGAGTAAGTGAATATTGTGCTACAACACTATTCTCTGATAGCAAAATCAGAGGACTAAGACGATCAGTCCTAGTCCAAAGAAAACGTCAGAATATCAGAACACTGTGGAGACTGTGCTTACCGTAAGGGAGACAGCAGATATATAAAAGATTCGTTGCAACGATGAATCTTTACGTGTGCCCCCACCAGAGTATCTGAGCTCTTGGCCAAGGTCTGCTTGTAAACCTGGCTCATCACCACCATGCGGTGCATCCTAGGGGCCACATGAGTATTACAAGCAATCTTAGCTCTTTTGGTCGTCCCTTCAACTATGTAAGAAAAATATAAATAAGTGAGATAGTTTCAAATCAAAGAAAACAACCATATGAGGTTACATATGTCTACGTGTGTATACGGGTCTAAAATTAGATACATACAAGGTTTGGGAAAATGTTAGATCTGGGCTTTGGGTAGGGAGGTGTTTGCTATACTGTTCTCTGTGTTTCTCAGTATGTTTGAGATATTTCATAATTTTTTGTCATAAAATTTTTTGAAACATATAATCCATTCAAGATTGCCTACAGATCTAAGGTTTGTTTCATGTGTAACCATTCAAGTAATACACCTAAGTTCACATGGCCAGAAAGTGACAGAACTGGCCCGACTCAAATAACTCAAATATCTTCTCCAAGTTGACTCAATTTATCATCCCAGTCCTGAAATAATCTCTTTAAATTGCCATAATACTAATTTCAATCCCCTCCTCAGCTACTTACCACAGTATTCCATGAATTCTATTTGGATTCAGGTCTTTAATCCCTAGATCATTAGTGACTGAGAGCATATTTTCCTTTCACACACAGTGCCTCACACACACGGACACTTAAAACATCTGTGCAGGGGTTACCCTCCTAACACAGTCTCGCCATCGTGTGACTGGCTTCTCAGACTGTGCTTCCCTGCAAGCCATCAGGATACCCTTGTAGATAAATGAATACTGGCCAAATAGGAAGAGGTCACAGAAGTATGTGATTCTTCTTTTTTAAAAACAAAACAAAAAAACAACTTACTGCTTCCTTTTATTAAATAAGTAACACATGGTTATTGTAGAAAAATTTTAAATAGTGGCAAAAGAAGATAAAAATTATTTGTGATCCTGTTATCCACCACCATTAACATTTCGGTATAATCCTAAGAGATTAGATATCCTCTTTTTCCTACTAGTGACTACTGTTAACATCTAAACAACTGCTTGAGCCTATATTCTTTTATCAACATCAAACATTTATGTAGTATGTCCTATATATTTATGGCACCCTTAGACATCTGGAAGTCTTTGACCTCCTCTAGAGCAATAGCTTGGTTAGACACGGAATTCTTGGGTCACAATCTTTTCACTCAAGATTCTGTATATGTTGCTCAATCGTTTTGTTTTTTGGCATTATAAAAATTTGATACAAAACTCATTTTTTTAATTACATGGAGCCTATTTTTTCCTTTATCTCTGAAATTCAGAGATTGTGGGAGTATATTCTAGTTTTGGGGGTTTTTTTCATTAATTTTGCCTGAAATTTGCCTCAGTATAGGCACCTACTTCTTTTTAAACTTCCACCCGAGCCCCCTTCTCTTAAAACTTCCACCTGGGCCCGAAGTCATACGGCACCCGAACCTATCCTGGACTGTCAGGAATAGGCATTTGATGTGACCAAGGCCAGGATTTTCTTTACTGTAACTTGAGTTTTCCAATTTAGAAAAATCTAATCTGTTTGTGTCTGTGTGCCTAGATAGGACCCCATCTCTACACCAACTGTCTGACGCTGTAACCGTGGAAAGGCCAAATGCTGCTGTGGTGCATGGAAAACAGGAAAGCCTTAAGCAAAGGAGCATGTGAGAGGGCAAGGGAGAAAGAGTCTGAATAAAGAAGAGCAGAGAAAGAGAGGACTGACCCAAGTTGGAATTGCTGTTAACTGTAACCACAACGATTCAGAATCACAAATCAACTCTCTGACTCTTGCTGCCTTGACAGGAAAAAGTCATAGACAAAAGAGAAATGTTCCCTTTTCTTCTCTCTTACAGTAGCAATATTTTTCAGGTCTTCTACAAAAGATGTAGGACTATTAATACACCAGAAAACACACACTTCCTTCACTTGTCATCCAATTTTTAATATAGATGAAAATACTGAAAAATACCTTGGTGAGCCCAAGCCAATTTCTTTCCAGACTTGAGGCAGGCAGATGTACCAAATGGATTCCCAGTCAAACAGGTTCTCAGCCAGGCTTCCAGCTTGTAGAAAGAAAAGGTCTTAGAGAGCCTTGAGAAGCCACTTTCTGCATGTAGTGGTTGCCACAGTGCAAGTTCATGAAGTGGATATATCTTCCTGGCTCCACTCACTGTACCTTCAATCAGAAAGCTGAGGGCCACAACAGCTTCTCGAGAGACGAGACTACTATGGGTCGAATGAAATGATGCAGTGAGTTGTTCTGGATCTAAAAGCAGCTCAAGGAGGTCTGACAGATGATCATAGACAAATGCTTGGTGACTGTAATCATTCCAGTTCTAAAAAATATCAAAATAAAGCACACTTAACAAAGAGATTCTACAAGACCTGAAAGTGTTGTATTTTAATTGTTTTTTATTTATATTTTGCCTCATCTCCTAAAAAGCATTTAAGGTAGCAATGTACACCTCATAAAGATTTTTTAAATATATGTGATAGGTATAAACAGATTCTCTGCCTTCTTTGGCTAATTCAAAAGTAATACTAACAGCTAATCCTTAGTGTGTGCCAACCAGTAAGTGTTATACAAACCTTAACATATTTAATCCTAGCAACAATCTTGCAAAAGATGCCATTACCATGCTCACTTTACAAATAAGGAAATGGAGATAGAGAAAGGTTAAGAATCTTACCCAGGGTCACAGAGCTGGTAAATACTCTAGGTTTCAGATCTAACATTCGATGAAGCACTGGGTTTCCTTTTTTTAATTTATTTTTATTTGTCATTTTGTCTATTTGAGAGAGACAGCAGGGGAAGCGGCAGAGGGAAAGAGGGAAAAATCTTAGGCAGAATCTTTACCTTAAGAATCTTAATCTGATTCAGGACTCAATCCCAGGACCTGAGATAATGACCTGAGCTGAAACCAAAAGTTGGATGCTCAACCAACCGAGCCACCCAGGGGTCCCATGTTGGGTTTCTCTACTTACCTTCTCATATTACAGGAGGAACTTCAAATTCCACTGGATGAAACAATGCAACTGATCTTACAGTAGCTAGATTTAAGACAAGTTATAACTTTTGGAATAAGCTTGGAGTTGGCAGATGTCTCAGTGACTTGGCTCATTCATTTGACAGATATTTTGTGAATATCTCTTATGTGGTATGAGCAGTGTTAACTGATGAATTATGCAAATTGGCTACGACATAGTCTTGTCCTCAAGGAACTCAGAGTCTATGTAGTGGAAAAACAATATAAGCGAGCAACTATTACACAGTGAGATAAGACCCAGGGCAGAGATCTGTGAAGACATGCTAGGAGCATGAGAGGAACAAGGAACTCCCCTTGGGGAAAAACCATCATTGTGGAGTGCTGTTTGAACAGATTCTTAATTAACGCAAACATTTTTAAAAAAGGCTTAGGTCTAGGGAACACCATATGCAAAGACCCATAGGAATAAAATTACCTGCTGTGTTCAGAAAACTGGAAGTTCTGGGTGGGATTTAGGAAGCATGCTGGGAAGTGTCAGGTAAAGTTAAAATAGTAGGCAGGGACCAATCAGGAAAGGCCTGTAGGAAACCCTAATAAAACATCTGGGCTTTATTTTGTGTGCCAGGGACTTTAGGGCTATTTTCTAAATAGCTGTACCCTTTTTTCTTTTTAATAAATTCTCATTTGGATACCAAAGAACATGTTAGGGGCACTTGGATGGCTCAACTGGTTAGGCATCTGACTCTTGGTTTTGGCTCAGGTCACGACCTCATGGTTTGTGAGTTCAGGCCCTGCATCAAGCTCTGTGCTGACAACACGGAGCCTGCTTGGGATTCTCTCTCTCCCTCTCTCTCTGCCCCTCCCCCACTCGTGCCCATGCGTGTGCTCTCTTTCTCTCAAAATAAGTAAATAAATACTTAAAAAATTAAAAAAAAAAAAAACATGTCAAAGCAGAGCTGTCACTCTTCATCTCTCATTGCATCCTCCTCACCCATCATAGGCCCTGAGGTGGCCCCATGGAGCACAAGATGAAAACGGCAGTGACAATGATAATTCATTGATGGCAGCTTTGGCAGGAGACAGATATAATCCTTCTGCATTTAGAAAGTCCAGTGTAGTGGGTGGGGTGCAGATTAAAAGCAGAGTGACCAGGTAGGATCTAATTATGGAAGTCAAGGTCCCTCCACCTCCAAAATGTCATTATGGTCTATATAAGAGGAAGAGACAGAGTTTTATTATTTATGTATATATGTATCTATTTAAAGATTTTATTTCTTAAGTAATCTCTATACCCAACGTGGGGCTCGAACTCACAATCCTAACATCAAGAGTTGTATGCTCTACTGACTGAGCTAGCCAGGTCTTCTGAAAAGGGATAGACTTTTCAATTAGAGTTATTTTGGAGGCAGAATCGGTAAGACTTGACAAATAACTAGGTACAGGTGCTGAGAGAGTGAGCATCGGAAGCTGGTGGTAACTTGAACTGGCATAGAGAATATACGTTAATTTAAGTAAAGGGAGATTTTACTGTAGGCACACGTGGTCATCTCCCAAACTGAAGTGTAGGTAGGCCTCATAAGAACTGGAACTGGAAGGCTACCTTAAACCTGGTTCTTTCTCAGAGGCTGATGTCTCTACATGTCTGTTCCATTCTACTCTTTTTCTCTGATTACCTCAGTTTCTAATCCCTCATAACTCCAGGTGGCTATTCTGGTACCAATATCACTTGAGCCACCAGCTCAAGCACCCCTCACAGACTGGTAACTTCTTCAGTTCCTGGGGCTACTGATGTGGCCAGGTCATCATTTCCAATCAGACCAATTTCACATACATACCTATGAATGGGTTACTCTAGTCAAGGGTCCATCTCTGGTCTAATCAGTTGGGAAAGGTCATGCTATAGCACAAACTAAGTCACCATTTACTGGTGCTTACTATGAAACAAGTCTCATGCTATTATATTAGTGAATTCTCACAGCCATCCAGAAATGTGCAATATCATCCCCACTTATCGAAGAGAAGCCAAGGCCTAGAAAAGTTAACTAACTTGCCCAAAATCATGTGATACCAAGTGGCAGAGCCAATTTGAATACAGACTACAGATGGTTCAAAACACTGTCTCTATACGGTACCCACTCAACAGGAAATACATGTGGAAAGAGCAGACAATTATTGGCCTTTCTAATACATCTGGACTTGGGCATTCTGAAATTAAGGTACAGATAGGGCATCTGCGTGAAGAGGGGAATCTAAAATGCAGACAAACTCAGGAGTCATTGAGATATATAAAGTCATGGGAAGAGAAGAATTATGTTTAAAGAATATGTCTAGTGTGAGGGGGAAAAAAAAAAAAAGAATATGTCTAGTGAGAAGACAAAATGGCCCCAGGCAGAATCCGGGGGGAAAAGCAGCCTGTCGGGGCCAGGGGGGGAAGCTCATGAAGAAGAGTGAGAAGGAAGAATTAAAAGCATAACAAGGAGGGAATAGCATCATGGAATATAAGGGCGGCCAGATTTACTTGAAAAAGATTATAAAAGTACCAAATATCAGAGAGCTTTTTGTTGTTGTTTGCCTCAGAACAATTTGTGTGTGTGTGTGTGTGTGTGCGCCTCAGAACATTTTTAAGGAACCTGCGCATGGCAGTAATACTGAGGTCTACGTTTTCCTTAAAGTTCTTCAGAATACTTTTACATAAACGGGTAAAACCATTTCAGTTTTCCTTACTAAGACAGAAGAAATAACACAATTTCTAAAACTCACAACATGAGGCAGTTAAATTTAACTTCTAGGTCATCACATCATATAATATTACATAAGCATGCTAGGCTTAAGCATACTGAAGCACATCATTTAAACATATGAGAAGATATTTTTACAGAAGTTTTGTCAGTAGATCTCAACAGACTTTGCAAACACTACATCTTTTCATTTATCCTACCTCAGTCAAATAAGTAGATTCAAATTCATTGACATTTGCAAAACTGAGAATTCTAATGAGAGTACAGTGAATAGTTTGCCCAAAAATCATGCAATTTTTGGGTCACCAAAGGAGCAGAAATCACCTATTTCGACTAAGACTGAAAATATTTATTTTGTTTTATAATAAGGAAAAGAAATGAAAAAAGCAAAACAAAACAAGCATGCCAGCAAATGACTGGCTTATATAAGTAATCCTAACACAATTTTTAATGAAGACAAATCATCTTCCTCACAAATTCCCTTTCAGAGGAGACCAAAATTTAAACAGTACCTTATTATGGCAACTGGATTTTTCAGCCAAGTCAGGAGACTGAGATCTATTTCTGGGACTAGGCCACTCTTCTCCAATCAAAGATGTCCTCAAGGAAACCTTGTTTAGCTGCTGTATATATAAGAAGAGCAGAAACTGTAGGGTGTCCACTGAAAGCTGTCCAAGAAGAAAAGAGATGATGAACACATGTCTTTAAACCACACCAGTCCAGGGACACCTGGATGGCTCATTTGGTTAAGTGTCTCTCTTTTTTTTTTAATGTTTATTCATTTTTGAGAGAGAGAGCACACATGTGCACATGAGCAGAGGGAGGGGCAGAGAGAGAGGGAGACACAGAATCTGAAGCAGGCTCCAGGCTCTGAACTGTCAGCACAGAGCCTAATGTGGGACTCGAACCCATAAACCAGGAGATCATGACCTGAGTCGAAGTCAGACGCTTAACTGACTGGGCCACCCAGGTGCCCCTAAGTGTCTGACTCTTGATTTTGGCTCAGGTCATGATCTCATGGTTCGTGAGATTGAGCCCCACATGGGGCTCTGCACTGACAGATTCTCTCTCTCCCCACCCCCCCCCTCCTTCCCCCCCACAACCCCCCCCTCAAAATAAATGAATAAACTTAAAAAAAGAAAATCACATCAGTCCCTATTCTACAACTAAGTAGACATAGTAAAATAAATTCACAACAGTTTGCTGATCTTAAGAACAAAAATGTAGAAACTTGCTAGCATTTGATATGTAGGTCTCTGATACCCAGGAGTTCCTAAAATCAATTAAACTGAAGTCACCTACCTTCTTGGAAAGCTATGTAGCATCTTTGGCTGTAGACATTCTCTCCCAAAATTGATGAAGTGGATAAGATGAAGTACATACTTTTAAAAAGTATATTATTTCAAAAGTTTAAAATTACAATTAAAAAAAAGGAAACACTTTAGTCATTTGAATAAATAAATTAATGGAAGAAAGAAGAAGGAAATTTCACCAAAATTTGAAGGTTGATCTAACCTAAGACTCACAGACTTATCAACAAAGTTTAGGGTATCAATGCAACACTTGAAATTGTATGTAATTTTTTGGTGTATGTACATTTTATAGGGGGGTAGGACTCAGGTTTTCATCAAGTTCTTCAAAGAGTGTGACTTAAAAAAATATCACTGGTCTGATAGAGGTTTATAAATCATTTCGTATTTGAAAAAGGGTCTGGTTTGAAGCTCAGGACTTGAAGTTCATGATTATCCTCAGATATCCATTCCCATGCACATACAGGAGGCACACAAAAGTAACACATCTGGTACTATAGCTATAGTATAGCTGAAAATCACTCTACCTAAGAACTTAAAAATACAGAATCTCAGGATCACCTAGACCTACTCAGTCAACTGTCAATGGAACCCCATGAATCTACCTATTAAACGTTTACTTTCTTACTTTACTTTTTTGAGATAACTGTAGATTTGAGATTACATGCAGTAGTAAGGATAGAGAGACCCCGTGTACACTGTATTCAGTTCCCCATGTTGCAAAGCTGTAATACAGTAGCACTACCAGGGGACTGACGATGGTGCAGCCAAGTTACAGAACATTTCCATCAACACAAGGATCTTGCATGTTGCCCTTTTATAGCCACACTCACTCCCTACTTCCCCCTCCCACACCCACCCCTTCCTTAATCCCTGACAAATCACTTATCTGTTCTCTATTTTTGTCATTTCAAGAATGTTATATAAATATAATATGTAACCTTTTGGGACTGGCGTTTTTATGCTCAGCAAAATTCCTTGATTTTCTACATACTTCCATTGACTAATTATATGTTATCATTATTCCTTCATATACCTTCCTATTCAAGAGACTATAAGATCCTTGTCTTTTTCGTTTTTCTATTCCTAGTAATTACCATAGCACATAGCACATAACAAGCACTCAAAACATGTGCAGCTTCTTGAAGGTTTCATTCATCTCTGTATCCAGCATCCACTACTGTACCTCACACATAGTAGACACTCAATAAATGTTTAATTAACGAATAACTATACTGTTCTTAATCTCTTGGTTGCTTGCAACACTTTCAGTTTCCAAAACCCTGTTTAGATATTACCACATGTGGCAGAGAGTGACTAGTACTAACTAAATATACCTTTGCTTTTCTTCCTGGGCACACGACTACATAGTATTTCCCAGCCTCTCTTGAAGTTAGACATGGTATAACCGAGTTATAGTCAATGGAATGTGGGTGGATTGACATACACTATTGACTCTCCCAAAAGAAATGGCAGTAAAAGACTCCGAGACCCTAGTGGACATGGCTAGGAAAAATTGTATCATGCCTGCAATTATTCATTTCCACATCCTCCGGGAGGCTTTTGGGTCCGATACATGGCCATCGGAGTTCTTTACCTCCTGTGAGGTAGTTTATCTCCCCAACTTCCTGATTTTAGACATGGACATAAGACAAAGCTTTAGCCAATGGAATGAAAGTCATTGCAGTCTATGTCACATCAGAGCCAAAGTTTTAAGAGGCACTGTGAGCTTTCTCCTGCTCTGCTGCTCTTCCCTTCTGTCCTAAGAATAGGCATGACCAACACAGAACATGTTTCTTCAGCCTGGGTCCCCAAATGAGGAGACACATAGAGCCAAGCCGTCACCTGGAAGAGAGGCCTAGCTAAAGTGCAAGCTGCACATAGAATGAGCAAGAAACAAACCTTTGTTACCATAAGCCACTGGAATTTCATTTTTGTTTGTTTTTAACTGCAGCAAAGCTAATACAATTGTGGTTCCAAAAGACAGATGACTAGATCCCTGAGTTATTGCTTGGACAACAGCAGCCTAGAGATCTGTCCAACCAGATGCTCTGTGGTATACTGCTGCTTGAAGGAGAAATAAACTGTTAACTGTGCCAAGCCACAGAAATGCCAGGATTGCTTATTACTGTAACGAGCCTACTCTGATTAATATACTTTCTCTGCGAAGTCTTTCCTGATCACCGGAACTAATCACTCTCTTCCCTATTCTATTTCTGCCCTTTATGTTACACTTTTACTAGTGTACATTCTACACTATCAAATAGCACTTTTTCACACACCAACCTCCCCTACTACACTATGAGCTCCATGAGGGCAGAGATGCTATTCCAATCATCTCTGAATCCCAGCACATAGCAGATGCTTACTTAAAAACAGTCGGGTGCCCTGACTGTAATGTATCAATGGTTCATAAGCACTGACTCACCTTAAAATATTTTTAACTTTCTTTGAGAGAGATAGGGCATGCGCGTGTTCAAGTCAGGGAGGGGCCGAGAGAGAGGGAGGGAGAGAGAATCCCAAGCAGGCTCCACACTGTCAGCGTGAGCCCAGTGCAGGGTCCGATCTCACAAACCATGAGATCATGACCTGAGCGGGAATCAAGAGGCGGATGCTTAACTGACTGAGACACTCAGGTGCCCCTCACCTTAAAATATTTTTAAAGTCAATGAAAGTATTTGCTTCTTTCATTTGCTGTGGTCTTGTAATGTTTTGGAAGTAGGTGAATAGGGATTGCTAAATAAGAGCTAATTCACTAAATACCACCCAACTGGAACTGTTTAAAAAAAAAAAAAAAAAGGCACTTTGGGATCACAATGATCATTCACCTAAAACCACACACTGCACAGCTAGTACAAAACTTACAAATAGTTTCTTTCTCAAAACAATGAAACACACATACACATACATATACATCTATACCTGATTTCTTTGCTTTTCGACTTCATCCTCAGACATGCAGTTGGACAGAAGCTCGGACCATTCCAGGCGCTCTTCTGGTGTCTTCACTGCAAGACTATCAAATATTTCAAAGTAAAGCCACGCCAGATCCTTGGCCAACTGCAGCTTCCCACATGCAATGTGCCTCCACGTAGACCAGTACAGGCGTGGGTAAGCCCCCTCTGTGGCCCGGGTTCGCACATAGGTGGATATCTTCCTGAGATAGTGAAGACTGAACTTGGATGGAGGGGGGACTTGCAAGGCACCCACTATAAAGGGTTCTGCTTTCACCCAGAGGAGAACTCCGGACTGATCCATATTATCACTAAGGACATCTGTGTGAAAAGACTTCTTGGCATACCTACGAAACAAAAGTTTTTTCACAAACCGATTTGAACAAAACTCATTTATGCATTTTCTTTTGATTTTTTGTTTTGTTTCACTTAACACGGCTTCTTTAAGGTGACCCCTCCCTTAACTATTTTAAGATGTACTAGGTCAGTTTAAAAAGCAGATCTAGTTCATCAACCAAGAGCAGAATTCTTGGTCAGATCTCACTCCAACCCATTTGAACAAGAAAAATTTTGTGATGAAACAGAATTATCTTCCTCGAATTGTTTGAAGTGGTTGTTTTAGGAAGAGTGTAAATGCATGAAGTATGAGTTCCTGCTCAGGAAAGGAAGAGATGCGTCATCTCTTCACAGGACATCTTTGCCTGCCCTGAGGGGGAATGGTAGTCAAAATAAGGGGGATAAAACTTCCAAGTCAAATCACTTACACATAGAGGATGGTAGGTTAAAATTTTGGATGTTAACTGACATATAGTTCAATATGAAGCACTAACATGAGGCAGATGAATACTCACACGAGCATAGGCTGCAAAAATAGATCATCTTTATTCTCTGTAACAGTGAACCCGTTCTGGCATATTCTTTGTGCTTAGTTCAGGTGCAGTGCTTTTAGATTTTGCTTGTTGGTTCTTGGTTTTAACAACAATATACAATTTTTATGGGATAGTTCTAGCTAAAAACAGAAGGGGAAGAAATCATCCACTGTCCCACCATCAAAGGGAAACTAGTTAACATACTCTTGTGTTTCCTTTCTGTCTCTTTCTACACAGACGGGAGGTTAGTTTTTGAATTTTCAAATGTGCGGTAATACCATATATACAATTCTGTTATTTTAAAAGTTCATAGCACTCTAAATAAATGTACCCACATGTATTCACCTGTTCTCCTATTTTCAGACATTACGTAGGTTTAAAAGTTTTCACAAAAACAAGGCACGCAAACTACTGATCATTGTTGAAGCGGGGTGATGAGCACATGGGGGTTTATTTACCTATTCTACTTTTGTGTATGTTAAAATTTTCCACTATAAAAAAAAAGCTTAAATGTAGGTGAAGGGTGAAAGGGATTAAGAGGTACAAAATTCCAGTTATAAAATAAGTAAGTCACGAGGATAAAAAGTACAGCATGGGGAATCTAGTCAATAATACTGTACTAACTTTGGTGACAGATGACACCCACACTTGTGGTATTTTTGTAATGTACATAGTTGTCAAATCACTACGTTGTACAACTGAAACTAATACAATGTGTATCAACTATACGTCAATTAAAATAATGAAGAGTTTAAATGTTATAATTAATGCTATATTACTATCTTTCTGTGTATTTTCTGCACTATGATTATTTCTGGGAAATTTTCCAGATGTGCATTTGTGAAATGAAGTAAATGACATTTCTAAAGCTCCTGATACATATTCCCATTGCTTTCCAAGATGACTGTATCAAACTGTATCATCACTTGACCAAGGGGTACCACTTGACCATTGAGCAATCCTCAGCATTAAAAATATCACTTTAAAAAAACCTTCCTTATACGACTGGTGGAAAATGTTTTATTGCTATAATTGTATTTTGCCTTTCATTCCAAAAAAGGCATGTGTCTTTGGGGAATTATCTGCTCCAAAAATAACTGACATCAGTCGAATGCTTAATACCTGCGAGGTAGCACGCTAAATATTTTTCATTTTCACCTCCTTTCGTTCTCTCAACCACCTGGAGATAATATGATTGTCCCCATTCTCAGATGAGAACACTGAGGCTTAGAGATGTCAAGGGACTTACTCACACTCTTAAGATGGCACTGTTCTGGATCAGAATTCAAGTATGTCTGACTTGAGAACCGTGTTATTCACAAATGTACTTTAGGAACCCAGTTTGGGAAGAATCTCCGAAAACGGGACTGGATCCAGGAGAGGATTACCAGAATGAGTGGCCTTAGATGTGAGGCCACAAAGGGCCAGGTAAAGGAATGTGGGAGCATGAACACGAAAAAAAGGTGTGAGAGGCTAAACGACAGCTGGCTTCATACAAGGGAATGGCTTAGCGTTGTTCTGAGTAAAAGAGATCGGAGTTAACGTGAGAAAGATCTCAGTTCGCCCCAAAACGGAAAGCGACTGCTCTGTGAGATACTGAACTCCTGTTCCTGACGTGTGCGAACAAACGCCAGGGTACGAACTCTCCATTTAACTGCGAGACTCCAGACGGCTAAATTCGTAAACAAACAAGGGCTCTGTGGCTCTCAAGAGCAGCCCCGGGGAGGGCTGGGGTTGGGTTTTTCAGGCGGGGACAGCGGCCTGAGACCACAGAGGTCCTCTGGGGGCTTCGCCAACACCTCCGATGTTGTCCGGGTTCGGGGCCGCACCAGCTCCCCGGCCGGACTCTGGGAACCGGGATGGCCCAGCCGACAGGCCCCGTGGCGGGCCCGAAACCGGGCCATCTCCAGGGCAGCCTCCCCACCCTACCTCCCTGGCGCCGGCCCGCGCGCAGTTACCTGCGAAGGCACGGCCGCTCCGCCGCACCCTCCGCGTGCCGCCGCGCCCAGCTCACCCGGCCCAGCCCCTCGCCCGCCGCCTCCTCCACTGCGCAGGCGCCAGGCCTCGCACCACAGAGAACCGGAGGCCCACGCAGCTAGAGCGGCCGCCAGGTTCTCCCGCGGACTGAGAAAAACTCGGCTGAGGCCGAGAGTCCCCGGTGCTGGGACCTGGAGCCAGGCCTGGCCGCTTTCTGGTGCCGCGCCTCCCCACGCAGGGAAGTAGCAAGTTTTTTATTGCTCCACCCAACCAAGGTCAGCCAGTAGCTGCTGATGAGGTCAGCACGCTTTGATCAGTAATATAACAATGATAGTTTACGTTTGTAGTGTTTACTAGGGGCCGGCAATGTGTAAAGCACGTTTATGTGCTATTATCTCAGTCTTCCCAAGAGCCCTTCAAGTTAAGTACACTTGACTTACTGAGAAGTAAACTAGAGGTAAAAGAGGTCTAAGTAATAGACCCCTAAGGTCACACAGCAAGAGAGCTCCCAGGATAGAAACCCAGGCCCTCTGAAGCAACCCCCCAGGATTAGCTCCTTAACTTTGTTAGCTGTCCTGCCACGTTAGGGCCTTCACGAAGCTTTTTTGGATTCCACCCTACAGAAGACATCACTCCTTCCTCGAAGCCTCCACGTAATGATTTTTAGCCATTTCCTGGTTTCTTAGTTCGTTTATGGCCTCTATAGGTGTGGGAGATACAAAAGTAAATAAGGCGATAAAATGCAATTTAGTTTCTCTTTGATGTGGCAGGCGTTTTCCTGAAAGCAGTAACCTTATCTTCCTCTTCCCTCTATGAGTCAGGAGACAGGGTCTTTGGATTCAAACAGATCTGGGTGAGAATTCAAGCTGCACCACTACCTTGAACAGATTCTGTCACCTCTTATGCCTTTGTTCCAACAGCAATGATTATTGAGCACAACTGTGTGTCTGGCACAGTGCTAGGCACTAGGACCACAGCAGTGAACAAAATAGATAAGATCCTTTTTTGGAGTGTATATTTTAATAGGAAGAATAGATAATATGTATTAAGGAAAAAATTGGACAATTTCAGATATTAATAAGTGCTATGAATTTGGAGGGGGAGGTAGGGGGGTCAATGCTGAATTTGAGCTGAGGACTGAAGAATAAGCCATCATATGAAAATCGCAGTCGAAGCAACTTTTACTCTGTGGCAGGCTTCATTCTAAGGTGCTGTTCTATTCAGGTGTGAACAAAACAGTCCAGGTTCATGCTGTCTTGAAACTGGCATCCAGTTGTGTGAGTGTGGGGGATAGGGATGGAAAAAAACAGGATGGTGTAAGAGTAAGGGACTCAGTAGAGGCTGTTTTTGATTGGTTGGTCAAGGAAGTCTTCTCTGAAGTAGTGACATTCCAACAGATTTGAGTGGAAAAAGGAGTCACCCATGTTAAGAACTAAGGGAAGAGTGCTTCAGGCAGAGAGAAAAGCTAGAACAAAGGCCTTAGGGAGGAATAAGTTTGATGTATTTAAAAAAGAAAAAAACCAGTTTTGCTGGAACATGGTAAGAAGTATACTAGGTGCAGGTACAGATCATCTTAAGCTTTAAAAATTCTTTTTCCAGCTTTCTTGTGACATATACAGAGTTTTACAAGCTATCATAAAGAGTTGGGGTTTTATTTTAAATGCAGTGAAAAGCCATTCGGGGCTTTTGAGCAGGGTAACGACAGGATCTGATATGTTTGTAAAATATCATGGGGATGGGGGTCAGGAGTGAACACGAGATACTAAAATATTACGAGTGGAGGCAGGAAAACCACTTAGGAGGCCTTGCCAAGTGAGAGATGATGTGACTTGGCCCTGAGAGGTAGTGGAGATGTACAGGAGCGGAAAAGATTCAGGATACAGTTTAAAGGCGAAGATTTGGATAGGGGACACAAGGGGAGGAATCAAGGTAGACACCTACAATTTTGTCGTGAACAAGTAGGTGGTGGTGCAATTAATCAGATGAACAAAAGCAGGTGGGGCGAATCAAAGAGTTCTCATAAGTGTGATGAGAGTTATTCGTTGCGTGTTTACTGTGCAAGACGCTGTGCTAGACGGTTTACAGCTTTTCTCCCTTTAAAGTTTCACAACATTGCCAGTAAAAATGTTTTGCCTCAGGTTTGTAAATAAAGCTTAGGCTAGACTGGGGGGGGGGG